CCAAGGTAGTTGCTGCCAAACTCCAAGTCACAGTGACTGAGTCTGCTTAGTGTTAACTGTAGGGGGAGGCGAGAGAACCATGGGCCTCCTTTGCATAAGGAATTTTTCGCCTTTTAATCCTTGCTTAACTCTTAAAAGGTGAAAAATTCCTTATGCAAAGGAGGCCCATAGTTCTCTCGCCTCCCCCTACAGTTAACACTAAGCAGACTCAAAGTCACTGTGACTTGGAGTTTGGCAGCAACTACCTTGGTCTTTTTAATTATTTTAAAAATTCTTTCCTTTTCCTCATGAGACTGGTGAGGCCCCGCCTCCCCTGCCTCCAGTGACTGTACGTCCCTGCCTTCTTTAGATAATTTCCCTTATAGTAATCCCATTGTCATGGACCACTAGTTGCCGAAGGCCAAGCTTATAGCCACTCTCCATTATCAAGAACTAGTCTCCCCCAAAAGATAGGATTAAGCAACAAAAAATGCAGAATACAAGTACTGGAATACTGACCTTGAAAATGCAACGTAGAGCCCATTTGAAATGCTATAGTGTAGCGGCCCCCTTTTGGGCACCAAGGACCACTTCCATGGAGACAGGTTTTTCTACATACTGAAGGAGGCATGGTTTCATGTGTTACCTGCATCCTGCAGATGGGGCATTACTTGTTCGTGCAGACTGGTTGCTGGCATGCTGGCATGATTCTGGTCCATGGACTGGGGTTTGGAGACCCCTGGTATAGTGTACTATGGACAATATATTCAAAAAGTAGTAATGTGATTACACCTACAGATTCTTATACAGCTAACTAGTGTTGTGAGAGAATGTACAAATGTCTTCAACCTTGCATTTAAAATTAAAGAACACCCAGATTGCTGTGGCATTTTCAGTGAGTTCTTTCTTTCCAAGGAGGGACAGCAGTAGGGAGATAGTTGGGATAGTCGCTACAGAGCATTCTGAGCAATTGGAAATGACAGAGGATAAGGGCTCTGAGACAGGACCTCCTCCTAGCATTAAAACATGTAGTACTGAGTGAAGAGCAGAACAGAAGAGGTTTGCATGGCTTCTCATAAGGCAAGTGAATTTCTATTGATTATTGCTTGTATCTGGTCAGTTCTATTTTAGAGCCATGGCTAGCAAGTAGTCTTTTTCTGGGAAATTGTTCTACTATCTGGGACTCTGTTCCTTATGAAAATCTGTGCCTTTAGGAATCCCACACTCTTTGACTTCAGAACTTTACATTTCAACCCTGGACTCCAATGTCTGGATCCTGTTCAGGGTTTTGGTTCAATTCTGGAAAGACTGAGTAACTGAATGTTTGGATTCCATCCACCCTCTGTGTTTCAGGAAAAATGTGCCTCTATTCCCAGATCTGGGGTTGATACATTTGTGGGAGGCCTGTCATATTTTTATTGTTGTGTTTTTACTATTTTTTTCTGTATTTAATTGTTTTAACCATGCATTGGCTTTTGTAAATTGCCCAGAGTGAATTGGAGTGGTAAATTTTAATGCCTCCATGAGGGAGGCTGTATAACTGTATACAGTTATATATGTATACAGACTGTATAACTTTGCATCCACAAGATCAGCTTTATGGAATTGTGATACTTCAATTATGGATCAGTTCCTAGAACTATGGCTGTGTAAGAAAAATTAGAGTGATTCAGATAGATGAAATGAAATAAATATGTAAGCTGACTTTCGGATGGTTTATGGGATTGATTATTTGGTGAATGATTTTGTGAATATTTGGTAAATAAATTATTTGGATTATTTAGTGAATGATTTTCATTTGGAGACAAAGAAACTGTTGATTTTCCAAAGTTTTTCAGTGGCTTTCAATATAACTGACCCCAATATCTTTCTAGATGACCTGGCAGTTTAAGGAAATCTCCATTGAAATTATTCTGCTCGTATCTGCTAGGAAGATACTAGATGGTGACAGTTGAGTTTGTAGTTCCATGAATTGGAGCTCATCCCTAAAAGCTTCATTTAATCTCCAACATTTTTTAACTGATATGTAACAGTCTGGAAGAGATCATCAGCAGATTTAAAAGCAAATGTTATCAATATGATGATGACATTCAAATACCCTTTTCTATGGCAACATCATAAAACATGACTGCCTTGACTACTTGGCTGCAGATGGTAATGGGTTAGAAGAGGAGAAATAACTTTGAGTCCAGATGGATTGGGAAGAATCATCACTGGATTTTAATACTAGAATTATATACAACTGTCTAGATATGGTCATACTCTCTTAGAATGAGAAAATACATAGTTTTGGAGTGAGTCTGAATATAGATAGTTTTCTTTCTTTAACAGAGTTTATAATCAGAAACATTTTGATTTGTATTAGTTGATGTCCCAGCTTCATCAGTTCATAGAGAATTATGAGAAAGTTACAGTTAAGCTCCAGCTTTCTTTTTTGTAATTTTCACATAAGGTCGTCCTTTTGTACTATTTAGAAATGTCAAATTATCTCTGAAACATCTGTTATATTTTATACAAATGTTTACAATGACTGCAAACTTGCTTTGGGGAACAGTACAATGTATTATTTCATGGTGATCCATAGGAAGGATTTAGTAGCAGAAACGTAGTGATGGTGACTGTGTAATGCTAATGTTCTTGACTTTAAGGAAATATAAAACTAAGCAATGCCTAATACATTTCTTGGACTTTGGAACAGTAGAATTCAACAGAACAGTAAGTAGGATGTCCTGACAGGAGTAACTAATCAGAAAAGGCACTCGAGATGAGTGGGAGTACTAAAGGAGATATTAAAAACATAATTGGAAATATTTTTAATAGCAGAGCAATAGGGAGCAAGAAAAGTAGTTATTGAATTACACAAAAAGCTTAGTGAAGGTGTTAAAATAGAACACAGTGTATGAAATTGTAGAGTATGTATCAGAAAACAAAAGCTAGGAGTGAGCCAAGGTTAATAAAGAATTCAAAGAACAACAAACAGAGCTGCTTATACAGGTCTAGGCAAAATAAAAGGAAAATTATCAGATATCAGCTGCTCAATGAAGAAGACAAATTGCTAACAGATTATGAAGAAGAGACAGAATTACTCAATTCTTACTTTGATTCAATTAGTCAATTAGAATACAACTGGAAGGGACCTTGGAGGTCTTCTAGTGCAACCCCATGTTCAAGCAGAAGACCCTATGCCATTTCAAATAGGTGGCTGTCCAGTCTTTTTCTTAAAAGCCTCCAGTGATGAAGCACCCACAATTTCTAAAGGCAAGCTGTTCCACTGGTTAATTGTTCTCACTGTTAGGAAATTTGTCCTTAATTCCAGGCTACTTCTCTCCTTGATTAGTTTCTATCCATTGTTTCTTGTCTTGCCTTCTGGTGCTTTGGAAAATAAGTTGATCCCCTCTTCTTTGTGGCAGCCCCTCAAATATTGGAATACTGCTATAATGTCACCCACTAATCCTTTTTTTTCTCCAGACTAGCAATACCCAATTCCTGCAACCATTCTTCATTTGTTTTTGTCTCCAGGCCTTTAATCATCTTAGTCGCTCTTCTTTGCACTTTTCCCAAAGTCTCAACATCTTTTAGCAAAACTGAATGTAGTATTTCAGGTATGGTCTTACTAAGGATTTATAAAGTGGTAGTAATACTTCAAGTGATTTTGATTCTATGCCTCTGTTTATACAATAAAAGATTGCATTAGCTTTTTTGGATGCTGCTGCACACTGCTGGTTCATGTTTATATCATATTCTAAGACTCCAAGGTCCCTCTCACAGTTACTGTTTTTGAGCCAGCTTTCACCCAATCTGTGTATCTTTGGGTTTTTTTCTGCCTATGTATGTTGTAAGCCTTGCTTTTCTTCACATTAAATTTCATGTTGTTGGATAGGGCCCATTCTTCAAATTGGTCTAGATCATTTTGGATCCTGAGCTTGTCTTCTGGGATGTTGGCTATTCCTGCCAGCTCAGTGTCATCTGCAAATTTGATGAGTTCCCCTTCTATTTCCTCTTCTAAGTCATTTATGAAGATATTGAAAAATACTAGTACTTGTACAATGCATCAGAAAGAGATTGATCTCAAAGCATCTTGAAAACAATGTAGTAATTATCAGAAGCCATCATGGAGTTAAGTATAAATCTTGCCTGACTAGTTTCATCTCATTTTTTAAATTGGATAACTCCCTTAATAGATTATTGTAATGTAGTAGACATAATATACCTTGTCATGAACAGAAGCATTCATCATGCTGATTATCAAGCTTGTTAAGTGTGAGCTGGCTGACAATTAAGGGGAAATGCTGTTGTCTGTAATATTAGACTCAGAGTTCTGATCAATGATCTTTCATTGAATTTGAAAAATATAAATTAGGATTTCAGAAAGTTCAGTCTTGGTTTATTTATTCTTCAACATTTTGGTTTAAGTGGAGAATGGGGGAACACTTATCAGGTTTGCTGATGATATACCATTGGCTGGGATAGCTAATATTACACAAGACAGAAATAAAATTCAAAATGCTAAAGAGATCTTAGAATAGTAGCTTTTTGCAAATTGAATAAAACAGACAGAAGTATGATTTGGTTACAATGAAGACAAATGCATTTTAGGCTGTATCAACAGAAATAAAACTTCCAAATCACAGATATGATCTTTTCACTGTATTCTGCTTCCACATCGAATACTGTTCCCACATCGAATCCAATTATGGGTATCATACTTTTGAAGGAACAACCGAGATAAATCGGGAAGCTACAAACTAAGCTCCAAGAAAAATTATTGAAATAGCTTTCATATTTAGTCCTGAAAAAACTAAATGACAAAGATGGGAAATGATAATATTCTTCAAATTCATCTAAAGGTGTCATATAGATGAAAGTTAAGATTCATTCTCATTTCAGAATGTAGCACATGGAATAATGCATCACATTATGGGATGACAGGTGATGATTGACTATGAGTCAGTAAAATAAATTACTAGAGAGGGGATGGAGATTAGATTGTTGGGTTAATTCATTTTGGACTCTCACACTGAGCCAATGAGTTCAAGTCCCACTCTAGCCATGAAAGCCACCCTGGTGACTTTGGGCCTATCACACTCTTTCAACCCAACCCACCTCATAGGGTTATTGTTGTAAGGAAGATTCGTTGGATATGTTTGCTGCCTTGGGTTATTTGTAAAAATAATAAAGGATATAAATAAATAAAATAAAATAACGTGATGGTCTGAAAGGCATCTGTCTGTAATACCAGGGACAATACCTCTTCTTGTAAAATTTTATTTCAAACTAAGAAAATCTGGGGAGGCACACCCCTAAAGGCATATGGTCTGTCTGATTATTACTTAGGCTTGAACTTCCTTCATCTCTGGAGTCCATTTCCCAGTACATGATAGCATTAGCACTTAGACTTATATACCACTTTACAGTGCTTTACAGTCCTCTCTAAGCGGTTTACAGAGTAAGCATATTGTCCCCAACAATTTGGGTCCACAATTTTACCCACCTTGGAAGGGTGGAAGGCTGAGTCAACCTTGAGCCTGGTGAGATTCGATCTACCAAATTGCAGTCAGCTGGGAGTTAGCAGAAGTAGCCTGCAGTACTGCACCCTAACCACTGCACCACCGTGGCTCATATAATGGAGACTGCCACCCACTTTAGTCTTTAGGAAGACATTAAAATATCTTTAAACATCTTACCCAGTTTGGGAAGGCTATGCTAAAAAGAATTAAGACTTTTCTTTCTCCTTGGAATCATTTTGGACAGGTTCTGCCAGATGAAATAAGTTTCACTGAATACAACAGAAAAAAAGACTCACCCAGAGTTCCTCTTTCATGGAGATGGGCTGTTTAAAATGTGAAATATAAATATTAAATAAATAACCAGTGCTGATATTACTGAAACCAGTGT